CATCCTTCATAATTCTTAGAGAGGGGATCTGGACCTCAATAGGCAAGACAACTTCCATGCCATATACTAGAGAGTAGGGTGTTGCCCCAGTTGATGTACGCGTTGTGGTACAATACCCGTGGAGAGCTAATGGTAGCATCTCATGCCAGTCTTTGTATGTGTCTGTCATTTTCTGTATGATCTTTTTAATGTTCTTATTCGCGGCTTCGATAACACCATTTATCTTTGGCCGGTAAGAGGAAGAATTGTGATGTTGGATCTTGAATTGCTCGCACAATGCGGTGATCATAGTATTGTTCAAGTTTGTACCATTGTCCGTAATGATCCTCTCCGGGATACCGTATCGACAAATGAGATTCTGCTTGATGAACCTGGCGACAACATTCTTGGTGACGAAAGAGAAAGAAGCCACCTCTACCCACTTTGTGAAATAGTCAATGGCCACTAGGATTAAGCGGTGTCCATTAGAGGTTGTTGGCTTGATTTCCCCAATCATATAAATCCCCCATATAGCAAAGGGCCAAGGAGTCGTCAAGATATTCAGAGGAATCGGGGGTACATGCACCTTGTCAGCATAAATCTGACACTTGTGGAAGGTTCGAGAGTGTTGATAGCAATCCACTTCCATGGTAGACCAGTAATAACCCACCCGTAGGATCTTCTTTGCCATCGTATGCCCACTGGAATGGGTGCCAAAAGTGCCTTCATGTAACTCAGCCATGATCCTTTCAGCTTCAACCTTGTCTACGCACCAAAGTAACACAGAGTCATAGTTGCATTTGTAAAGAATGCCATTACTAAGGAAGAATTTAGCAGAGAATCTCCTTAAGAACTTCTTATCGTTTACTAAAGCTCCTTCTGGATATTCTTGTTCTTCGAGATACCTCTTGACTTCGTGAAACCAAGGCCGATCCACTACCTCTTTGGTATTAATCTCGTGACAGTGTGCTGGTTTATCCCTTCATTCAATGGTGATCTAGGGAGCCTCGTTATCCCATTTAAGTTTAAACATAGATGACATTGTGGCTAGTGCATCTGCTAGCTGATTTTCTTCTCGCGAGAAGTGCTCGAAGGTAATCTTCTCAAAATGGGGGAGCAATGTCAAAACATGTTCTTTGTAAGGGATAAGGTTAGGGTGTTTGGTGTCCCATTTCCCTTTGATCTGGCTGATAACCAAAGCTGAATCTCCGAATACATTCAAAGATTTGATCCCCAAGTCTATGGCAGCTTTGAGACCAAAGATGCATGCTTCGTATTCTGCCATGTTATTTGTACAATTGAAGCAGAGCCTTGCAGTAAAAGGATTATGACACCCTTCCGGAGATATGAGTACAACACTAATACCATTGCCGAGTGCGTTAGATTCCCCATCAAAAACCAGGGTCCATCTGGATCCTTGTTCAGGTCCGTCATATGGCCTGAATTCTTCACAGATGTTTACCATCATGATGTCTTCATCTGGGAATTCGAACTTCATGGACTGGTAGTCTTCCACAGCTTGGTGAGCAAGGTGATCAGCTAGTACACTGCCCTTTATTGCTTTTTGGGTAGTATACTGTATGTCATATTCTGTCAGGATCATCTGCCATCTCGCTATTCTCCCAGAGAGTACAGGTTTCTCGAAGATGTATTTTATTGGATCCATTTTAGATATCAACAAGGTAGTATGGGTCAGCATATACTGTCTTAGCCGGAGAGTAGCCCATGCCAGAGCGCAACAAGTTTTCTCGAGCAATGAATATCTTGTTTCATAGTCGGTAAACTTTTTGCTCAGGTAATAAATAGTGTGCTCTTTTCGGCCAGACTCGTCATGTTGCCACAACATACACCCCCATTGAATTTTCCAAAACATTCAAATACATGATCAATGGTCTTCCCTCGACTGGTGGCATTAAAACAATAGGCTCTTGTAAGTACTCTTTGATCTTATCAAAAGCAGTTTGGCACTCATCATTCCATTTGACTACTTGATCTTTCTTCAGTAACTTGAAGATTGGTTCACAAGTAGCTGTCAGGTGAGAAATGAATTTGGAAATGTAATTTAAACGTCCCAAGAACCCTCTGACTTCCTTCTCAGTACGAGGAGCAGACATATCTTGTATCGCTTTCACCTTGGCAGGATCTACTTCAATACCCTTATTGCTGACAACAAAACCTATGAGCTTACCAGACCTTACTCCAAATGTGCATTCATTTGGGTTCAACCTCAGCTTGTACTTCTTTAGTCTCTCAAACAGTTTCTGTAAATGATAAAGATTCTCTTCTTCTGTTTGAGATCTAGCTATCATGTCGTCCAAATAGACCTCTACTTCATGATGTATCATGTCGTGAAATAGGGCTACCATGGCACGCTGATAGGTTTCCCCAGCATTCTTCAGTCCAAATGGCATAACCTTGTAGCAGAATGTGCCCCACTGTGTGACAAAGGTTGTTTTCTCCATGTCCTCAGGCGCCATTTTGATTTGGTTGTAGCCTGAGAAATCGTCCATGAAGGAAAACACTTTGTGTTGTGCCGTATTGTCAACTAGAATGTCAATATAGGGAAGTGGGAAATCATCCTTAGGGCTTGCCCTATTCAAATCTCTGTAGTCTACACACATTCGTACCTTGCCATCCTTTTTGGGCACGGGAACAACATTGGAAACCCACTGCGGATAGGAGGTGACCACCAAGAATCCAGCATTGAATTACTTCATGACTTCAGCTTTAATCTTCTCCGACATATCTAGTCGCATTCGACGGACCTTTTATTTTACTGGTGGACAGTCTTCTTTTGTAGGTAGACGATGTACCACAATATTTGCATCAAGTCCTGGCATGTCTTCATACGACCAGGCGAAGACCTCAACATACTCGTGTAGCAACTGAATCATACGCTCTTTGACACTGGGTTCCAGATTGGCACCCACCTTGACTTCTCTTTTATCTTCTTCAGTACCTAGGTGTAGCGGTAAAATCAATGAAGTCGCCATCGAGTATTTATTTATCCCATATGAAAGGGAAAGGAAAATCATCGAAGAAAAACCTAAAGGGGAAATCAAGGTCTTGCGACCGAGAGATTGGGTAAGGGAGTCGATTACGCAAGAGGAAGGTATTAGCACCCCACACGTTCATAGTACTCTACGGGATCCACTCTCATTATTCTAATAAAAGGGTGTGTTCAATCTAATGCTTAAAGGTTATAAACTAAGAGAGAGAATGCATGCAAGGAAAAGAGAAATAATGTAGGAAAAATAAAATTGTACTCGCTTGGGCCCTACCCCAATGCCTACGTATCCTTTTTGAGGAATCAGAGCTATCATAGTTCGGCTCATATATTTTGTTTGTTTGTATTTTTTAAATGAACAATGTTGCATTCGATCATTCCACCGCTGCTCGACCTTTAGAGACTTACGACCTGTAGTGGAAAAGAGCTAACATTCTCTTAGAAGAGAAAAGCCGAATGGCGAAAAGAAATGGATTGGTTGGTATTTTTTACTATGAAAAGTATTTTTGTATGCTTAGCATTCTTTATACATTTGCCAAGAAAAAAGAAGTTTTAGTTTTAAGTGCAATTATGCAAAAACGGGAAGAAAACATCTAAGGGAGACTAACCTATCTCTAACCTAATGTTATCATACAATGAGGGATCCTATCTAAGTTAGCATGCCAAACAAAGTATAACAAAACTATCCTATAGGGAACATGCACTGAGAGCGAAGTCGTGATCTCAATTTCTAAATTGAGTGACTCATCGATCAACAAGAAATAAGGGAAAGCGATAAAATCCTATAGGGAGCATGCACTGAGAGCGAAGTCGTGATCTCAATTTCTAAATTGAGTGACTCATCGATCAACAAGAAAGGAAACAAACACAAGCACAACACGTATAAGAAATGAAGTGCGGAATGCCTGCTACAGGTCTTTAAACAGCGACTTCGAGCGCACACTCTTTATTTCCTACTTCTCATAATATCTAGAAAAGCGATAAATGCGGAAATATAACTTGGAAGCAGTGTAATACCAAAAGAACAATGACGTCCGCAAAAAGTGCAACCAAAGTAAAGAAATCCAAGATACTTCGCACGAGCTGGCATCAACAAGCAAACAGTCAGGGTTCGAATATTTGGAATAAGTGTTGCAACTTTGTCGATGTGAAAATAAATCACAATCGAAATCCAAAACACATCCGCATATCAAATAATGAACATGCATAAGACTCAGCTTAACAAACAAAGGTGAATCACAATTTTCAAGTAAAAAATATTAGGGATTAATTTCCAAAATCACATAAAAGTCTAACAAAATTTATTGATCTCGTAGTTTATTACCAAAAAAACGTTCTTAAAATCTATACATTTTTATTGTTTTATTATATGTATTTCATTACTATTTTTATTACACAAAAAAAAAACTAAACTAAAACAAAATCTACAAAAACAAATGAAGTAGAAGGAGTCAAGGGGTGCCAATACTAGACCAGGGGGTGTGGCCAGAACCAGGACGCTAAGGCCCATCACGAAAGGAGTCCAAGATTTGTTTTTTTTACTTGTAACCAAGGCTTATAGTGTCAAAAATGCACAGAACCGGGCCTAAAGGACATATGTGGTTCGGTCCAGGGAGCAGTCCAACAACATCATCAATATTTTATTTCAATTGTATTATTAAACATTTCTTTATTTTGTTTTACCAGCAATAACAGAAAATAAATTAAATACAAAAGAAAAAAATAAAGAGGAAATATGGATTTGGCTTCTTCACAATTCAGAACAAACTCCCTCCTCTTTGTTCCCTTTGACATCGTAGGAAACAGCCTCAACCTCATCCTCTTCTTTAAAAACTCGTGGCGGCGATATCCATACGATCTTTCCCTCCTTTCAAATCTCCGTCTCAATTTTCGACTGTTGTCTCGATCTCTCTTCCGCGACGAACTCGCTTCGTCTTCATCTCAATCCTCATTCTTCGCGGTTACCTCTTCCACAACATAAACAAAATTCCGAATATGCGAATTCAACCTCTTCATGTTTCAGATTTCGATTCGACTCGTCTTGGTTTCAGTTCAAAATTCCAAATACGCACGAAATATAGATAAGAACAAGAGAAACAAAATGATACCTATTGGAGAAGTTGTCTGGTGCGTCTTTGAAAGGATGAAGATGATAATAAAAATGTGTATAAGCTCAGGTATGCCTTTGTTTTGTGATTTTGCTTCTTCTACATCTCATTCCTCTGCGTTGTTATTGAATAACTGAGTTAACGCGAGGATGACGATTTGATGCGTTCTTGATGTTGTAGAGATAGAATCTGAGAATCAAATTCAGATTTTAGATGAAGATTGAACGGTGGTGTTCATACCGGTTTGTTGAGAAGGTATCAAGGTGGAAGCAGAAGGTTATGGTGATGAAGATGAGCGAAATCGAAGTTGAGTTTGATGAAGGTGATAAATGATGAAGAGAAGAGTTTGCTGAAGGTTCAAGATTGAAGGTTGCGGAGAATTTTTTTGTTGGTGATTCTCCCAATTAGAAGAATGAAGATGGCAGGAGAATATAGAATTTTGTGGAGATTTTCTCAAATAAGATGAAGATGTTGCAATGGTGAATGAGAGTGAAGCATGGAACAAATGAAGATGAAGGTGGTTGAAGATCGATGATGGAGAAGAATGAATTGGTGAAGAATGGTGAGCAATTGCAGAGAGAGTTTTTTCGGTGAAAAATCCTTTTCAGATCTTTTTTCTGGCCTTTTGTATTGTGAATCTGAAATCTGAATTCCCTCCCCCCTTTTCTGTTACATGGTTTTCTCTTCAAAAAAGTTTGTTAGAGCTCTCTATTCTGTTAGTAATTGGTTATAAAAACGGTTATGAATTAGTTAGAAGTTCTATTAGTTGAAATTCTGTCAGAATTTTGTTAGGAAATTGGTTGTTGAATTAACTGTTTTGTGATGTGATTTTGCAGGATCGGTAAAGGGTTATTTTATGATGGGATCAAAAGACTGAAAGAACTATAGGGATTGAAAGTTTAAGTGGCAGTTTGAGGACCGTGAGAAGGAAAAATGAAGATGACAAGAGAGGTGTATTACAAATCCTGATGAACTCTCAAGGCTGTAATGCTTGACAGACTCTGGTTGCAAAGCTGAATTGCTGCATGAAACCTTGGATGCTGGTTTAACTTCATAGCTGTGTCAGGGGAAAATATGTGCAAATTAATTCCTGTGGAGTATGGTGTCTCATACTTGTTCACATTTTTGGATCCAGAAGATGATGAATTAGACAGACAATTCTTGGCACAATTTTTATGTGGCTGCTTGTCAGAACTTAAGAATGAAAACCCACTAGTTTCCTTCATTTTATCAGATGAAAAAGAGTGTCTCCTTTTGAACATATATTGTAAACCCTGTCGAAACTTCTCAATTGAGGTTTTACCTGAATAACCAATGCGGAACCATTCATGTAACAATGGAGCAAAAGCTTTACTGACAGAATTATTTCCTTCCTTTATGCAATAGAGAATGGACCTGGATTCTTTTTCAGACAAGTGAACTGAGAACCAAGTTATAACACATTTTAGTAACCCAAGTGGCATCATATGCATGCTCAAGCTTAGAAGTATCACTTGCATTCCATTTTTGCAGTTCTTTCTAAAGATAGGAAACACCTCAATTTCTTGAAAAGAAAATTGTTCGTTGACTGCTGATACAAATAATTCAAGTTTTCCGCAAAGCTTCTCTACAAATTTGGTCAACGACATTTCGCTTTCTGAGTTATAAAGTAGCAACTGTTTGAGAAACTCCTTACATTCATTCATCAACTTCTTGTATTTACAGGATTCAGAGTGGAACACAATCTTTCTTTGCAGCTTTCTACGCTTTGCCTGAAGCTTTTCTAGCCTTTCAACCTTTCTTTTATCAACTTCTACTGTCAAAACTGTCCTGCTAAATACCTGCACTCTTTCCGCACCTGAATTTCAAGTTCAAGTGATGATATTCTTTCTTCAAGATGAGTGTACTTGCAATAGTACTTCATGGCAGGACCAACTTCATTATAGCTCAGCAATAGATGAATGTGCAATGCTCCAATGTGCGCCCATGCATAACCAATAATATAATTGAAATTAAAATTAGCAGTAGAGGACTAAAGATATAACTCCCTAAGAAGGGGAACAATGAACTTATTCACTGAGTTTTTCAATCTGTGGTGTCGGGACGAAGCAACAAGAGTGCTCATCAAATGGATGCTTTCTGATTCTTGCAACTTGAGTGGGTATTCGTAGTGAACATGGACTTGAATGAAATTTAATGTCTTTTATAATGAAATGATTAAGCGTAGAACATGATGAATAAGATGAAGATTATTATGATGAATGAATGCCTTGCACTTATACTTCGTTCCTTAAATTCCAAGAAGTCCAAATGCGTTCCCTTTCCAAACTCTGCAAATTCCCAACAACTTTGATGAATTGAACCTAATTTGAATTCATTGAATCTTTTAAATCCACTTTAACCTTAATCCAAATTAGCTCGCCTGACAAGCCACAAACAAATTGAGAGAACAATGCCTTGATTATGATTCACATCTTGCACTTGAATGAATATCTCAAATTAATCTTCCAACCTTAATGAAACCGTGTATTCAATTCAATTTTCCAATCTTAAGCAAACTTTCACGACAAACAATCCATCCTCATCTCTTGCACCATAGCTTGCATTTCGCAATACAACTCCACTATATCTCGTCTTGACGAGTAACAAAATAGCCAATGCCTTGAATCCCTAGATAAAGGTAGGACTTGGAGCGTAGTAGGATACCTTGACACGAAACTCAATGAATTTCAGTTGTTGAACATCAACAAGCTGAAATATGATGAGTAGCAAACCCTAGTTCACCTGCTTTTGATGAAATTTGACAATCAAGGTAGCTTAAGGTGATGGAGGGAACCAAAATCTTAGCTTACAATTGAACTCTTGATGAAGCATAACAAATTAAAATCCCTAACATCTTTCCCTTCTTGTTGAAGAAGCAGCTTGAATCTCTTAGATAAAAATTAGAGCCTCGGAGCCTTAAAGAAACCCCAATCCTTCGAAATATTTGATCACATGCCACATTTTATTGATTAACGAATGAACGTTGTGTTAGATGACCTAATGGAGTTATGTACATGAATCTCACTTAAATTTACAAATTCGAGTCATTTTGCATTTAAAGCGACCAACTTACATTTGATGGAATGAGCTGGATAAACTCCTAACCCATAGCTTACCCAACAGTACATATCTAAACTTGATAAAACTCAAAGCAATCTTTCAGTAAGGGAAGAGTAGCGTTCAATGTAGCCTTAAAGTGAGACTTTAATCCAATAAATCTCTATATAAGAATCACCACCAAGCTCAAACAAAATGAAGAGAAGTCCTGGTTCTCTGGCTGAGTTAGGCCCTAATACCTTTGTTCCTTGAAAGAACCTTGATGAAAAAATTTGTATCTTGAGGAAACCTGATAGCGAAGACATTTATGCTGCTTGAGATCCAAAACCCTAATCTCATACCAAGAAAAGTGAGAGCGCCAGTTGAATCAACTTTGAGTAAGGTAGCAAACTCTATTCCGAGAGACAAACCCTAATGCCAAAGTGCTTCGATCTTATAACTATGAGACCAATGCTATGAAATGTACAAAGTGTGATGAGGGATCTTAGAGGCAAAAATTGGGGTACAATACTAGGTTGATTGTATCCACGGGTTCCTCATGGGGCTGAATGGTTCTCTCTTCTTGTTGTAGTAACCTAGCGAGTTCCCCTGGTACTTCACAATCTTCCTCATCTTCGTCTTCGGCTTGGTAGATTAGATTTTCAGAGTCATAGAAGGCCATAGCAGAACTTTTACCCATGGGATCCCGAATAGATGTAGACCTGCATTTTGAATGTGAGTGTGTGTAAGAGTATAGCTATCTTTGAAAGGAATAAAATGTAAAAAGAAAAACAATGAGCACAGAGTTTATATGCAAAAACGTCCATGATTCATGGATGTCATATGTAAATGAGATAATAACCCTTACAAATGGACCATTGTGCCTCGGGTAAGACACAAGGTTTTAAGAGTCTGAATTGTTTTAATATTATAGATCCAACAAAATGTAAAGACAAATTATTATGGGATGAAAGTGATCGGGATAAAATCTCTAGCCTCCCAGTTGCTGAGCCCTTCACTAACAGTTGGGAAAATCCAATCCTCCAGGTTGTAGATGTCTTCATCATCCTCCACCGCATTGACTTTGCGGTTGCTGATCTTCAAGGGTGGTCCTCCAGCACGAGCGCGGCATACAGCCTTCTGGGAACCTGAAGTGAAACCCAGACCAAACTTGTCAGATTTGTATGGGATATCTGGGAGTTGTCCCCAAATAATGCACCCACCTTCTTCTATCACTGCCTTGGCATCCTTTAAATATGACATCCTGAATGGAGGCCTTGTGAACTTAGGAACTTGAGACACAACCTTGGTTACTGCCACATCTTGCGGGACTTTTTCAAAGTGCTGGAATGGAATTTCAATAAATTCACCATCTAATTCCACATATCTGAAGGAATTGAGATGAAGGATCATATACTCTTATTCTCCATGAAAGGTGATAATCTTCCCTTGAATTAGATATTTCAGCATTTGGTGCAACGTAGAAGTAACAGCGCCAGCATTGTGAATCCACGGTTGACCTAGCAGGCAGGAATATGAAGGGTGGATATCCATTACATAAAAAGTTGAATTGAATGTTTGGGTTCCAACCTTTATGGGGATATCCACTTCCCCATGCACAATCCTTTTTGATTCGTCAAAGTCCCTCACTACTATGTTTCTTGGTGTCAATGTCAATCCCTCACAGTCAAGCCTATCAAGAGCCTTTTTAGGCAAAACATTCAGAGACGAACCGGTGTCAACCAACACATGAGCCATAGTTGTACCCCTGCATTCCACTGAGATATGCAATGCCTCATTATGCTTCCTTCCTCTTGGTGTTAAATCATCATCCAAAAAACCTAAACCATTATCTGCAGTCAAGTTGGCTACGTAGTCTTGGAACTGATCGACATATGTTTCTTGGGGTACATGAGCAGTTTTCAGGAATTTTACCAAGGCTTTTGAATGAGCCTCAAAACATAGTAATAAAGTCAGCATGGAAATTTTTGATGGAGTTTGCCCCAATTGCTCGACTACATTGTAGTCGCTTCTTTTTATGATCTTTAAAATTTCCTTTATCTCTTTCCGAGAGGTTTCAGGGATAGCTACTGATTGTGTCTTCGTCTCGATAGACTCAATCAGAACACCTTTTCCTCGAGTCTCGGTTAACTCGGTAGCAGGAATG